TCCGAGATTAATTAGTAGATCGACGGATTTTATTAGATATTTTACCCCTTTTTGCGGATAATAGGTATAGGATAATATAAATTATACGATTATATATATATTTATTAATATAAGAGGAATAATTTTAATCCTTTTTTTAGAAATCTTTTTTATTTAATTATTTTTTATTTATTTAAATATTTATTACTTTACCGCCGTTATTCCGCCGCTACTGTAGGATCTATTGAGGGTAATTAATAATTTATTTTATAAAATAACGCTTATTTATTATAAATTTACAATTTCTAACGTATATAAGGAATATTTCTTATTAAATTTAAGGATAAGGGTAAATATTGGGCCGTAGTACCCCTTCTAGAAGTCGATAAATATACAAATATAGGGATTAAATATTAATTTATCCTTGAATTATCCCTATTAACTTCTATAGGGCGTATATATAGTCGCCCTTAGTGAGATTTTTTACCGTTGGAAGGAGCCTGAGCTGGATTGTTATAGTGCGGATATTTAGTGTAGTTTTAATGTAAGTAAGATTTGAAGGTTGTTGAAATTAATATAAAAGTTAATATTTAATTATATTAAATTATATTTATAATTTATAGTAATTTAATTAAGTATTTAAAGAATATTTATAATATCCTTAAGGAATATTTACCGGACGTTTTAATTAGAGGTATTAAGGTTAAAATTTATATAGTTACTATTAGTATATAATTTAATCCTATAAAATTTTAATATAATTAAATTAATTATAAATAAATTTAGGATAGTATAAAGATTTAATAATTTTTATAACCTTAGGTTAAGTTATAACTATCTTTATCCCTAGTAAGACTTTATATTTAATTATTCCTAAGAAATATAAGGTAATAGGTTTCAATAGAGAATTGGACTTAGTTATTTAAATTAGAAATATCCTCTAAACTTATATATCAAATTTACTTTTAATTTAAGATAAATAATAAAAGGATAAATAAGAAATATAATAGGAGAAGTAGCTAGAAAATAAATAGTAGGAGGATAAATAAGAGAAGTAATTGGAGGATAAATAGTAGGAGGATAAATAAAAGAAATAATAAGAGGATAAGTAGGAAAAATAGCCGGAGGATAAATAATAGGAGGATAAATAGGAGAAATAGTAGGAGGATGAGTAGGAGAAGTAGCCGGAGGATAAGTAGTAGGAGAATAAGTAGGAGAAATAGTAGGAGGATAAATAGGAAAAATAATTAGAGGATAAATAGTAGGAGGATAAATAGGAGATATAGTAGGAGAAGTAATAAGAAGATAAAGAAAATTCGGATTTAATAAATTTATAATTAGAATTTAAAAATAGAAGGGTATAAGGGAATTAATAAAATAATAAAGTAGAGAAAGAAGCGGATAGTTTAATATAAATGCCTTTCTAGAAGAACGGGAATATAAGTCTCTTAATTATACTTTTAATATATCTTTAATATATTATTAATAATTTTTAAATTAATATTTAATAAATAAAAAAAATATATAAATAATACTATAATATATATTTTTTTATTCTATTTATTTATATATTATATAAGGCGGTTAAATATAATTATAAATTTTTAAAGTATATTTTGTAGAATTTATACTAATTATAAATTTATTATAGACCCTCCCCCTATCCGTTATAGTAATAGCAGTAAAGGCCGGGGTTGTATTATTTAAGACGAATTTTATTGCAATACGGGTAAGCCTACGGAGATTATAGTTTTCTTATTTAAAGTTTAAATTTAATAATTATAATTAAAGTATTAGAGTTAGTAATAATAAAAATAATTAAAATAAATTAGAAATAGTTTAGGGATAAATTAGATTACCCTTAGGCTATTTAATCCCTAGCTATATCTATAGCGCCCTATCGGTATTGGGTCCTTCTATAAATAATTGTTTCTCTATAGGGAAAGTCTTTTACAGGCGATTGGGGATTTTTCTCCGCGGGGAAACTTCTGTATGTATATTATTCTTCGTATAAATAGAAGTATTAATAGTATTAAATTCGATTTCATCTATAATAGTATCGCTAAAGTATTAAATAAAAGGAGACTGTAAGCGGTATACTTCGGCCTTATAAGGAGAAATAATCTTACTTAATATTGTTGTTGAAGTGACTCCGTACGAATACGTTTTGTAGTAATTATGTTAATTTTTTATTTTAGTAGGTCGGACCAATTTTCTATATAAATATACAGACTACTAGGTTAGGAAGCTTTGGGTATAGGGTCGGGTCATCTGACACCTCCCTTAAGAGTGAACCCTTGCTGAGCCTTGATCGGCTGTGAGTGAGCGCGAAGAAGCACTAAAGGAACGACGCCTGATCTGGCAATAGCTTCGAACGCGGCTTCCAACAACGCCAACATTGTCCCGCTTCTTGCGCAACCAGAAGATTTTGACAGCTGAAATTCCATCAATGAGTCGCGAATCCGCCGCCTCCAACAATCCCCTCGACGCTATTCCATAACCGTCGCTTCTTCGTCTCCTCCTGGCAGGGGAATTGCAGGCCTGCGGTTACGGGTCCTGCTCTCTCTAATCTAAGATAAAGAGAAGGGAATGTTTGGCCGACGATGGAATTGAGGCTCCAATTTCCGCCACTACACACAAAGGAAGTCTTCGTTTTGGTGGACCTCATGATGGGAAAAGGTGGGATCAAGGGAGAGAAGGCTGCGCGGTGTGGCTGCCTCGCTACCTTTTTCAAGACTTTTTCACAATCTCGCCGTCCGGGCCCGTATCAGCTTACTCCGGGAAAGTCCGGCCATGCGTTGAGGTTTGGTTCCTTCACAATCGCAGATAGGTAACACCGGCAAGTGGAAGCAGGTACCGATTACGATGGGATCACACTTTCCACAACTAGCCACAGTTCACTTCGCGGTGCAGTGAATTAGTTGTGGTGAGGGTGAGCGGTAGATGCCTGTTATGGGAAGGTGCCGTCGTATCTGCTGCACACCTCCCCTCACTGCAGATGCAAATTGGCAGCAACGACCTCCCACCACAAGGGTTCAGTTTCTTCCGAATCCCGTATTCACACTTTCCGGTGTCGTCTTTTGGAGCGATGCATCAACAAAGTGCAACCCAGCATCATGCATTTCATCTCGATGGCGGCTAATCATGACTGCACCTCATTCCGGCACTCTTCACCATTTACACAAACCATCGTGATCGGCAACGATGTGATGTCTGGTGGAGTTCGATACGCCAAACGCCATGAGGACGATGGATAGCGATGGCGACAGAGAGGCGACACACCCAATGTAGAGATGCTGCCAACAGCAGCTCACTTTGTTCTTACGCGTCCGTCTGTCCAAACGATAGTGGAAGCAAACCTAGCGGCCACTCCCGCCATCCTGTCTCACACGAAGTTCTGGAATCCGGTTCGGCTCGACCGTATTGCCTGGGCGTTGTGTTTGTTTGCTTCCTCAGCAGGTACGCCACTACGTAAGTGAGCACACACTATTCAAGTCTAGGGATTGCCTCCCTGTCGGTAGGTGGTATCACCTGTTCCATCCAGTCCACGGCAGGACTCGACGTTGCGCCAAGTGGGAATACGGTCACTTTGTCGCAAGCCACCACCGCTTGTTATGCATCTGATGGTGAACAGGTTTTTGTCATACTTGCCCCCATTTTACCGGGACAGCATGCAATGGACAAGACAAAGAGAAGCTCCAGTAAGTCCAACAAAAAAAAAAAAAAAGACATGTTATCATGTTCTCGTCTCCGTTGGCTGCTTCAACTCTCAAAGATGGGACGGACAACGAACAGAAGCCGTTCCTCCACCTCGATTCGTTGGCAATGGAAATGCTTGGCGGTACCTTGGCGAATTCTCGGTCTTGGCTAGGTAGCTCCTAGGGTCATCATGGGTGCCTGATGCTGGTGTTGTCTGGGTACCACTACCTGCTGCTACTTACCATATACCTGCATCGCAAAAGGCGACCACGTCGATGATAATACCCATCAGGATCCCAGATATACCCTACCTAGCCATTGACTTTGCAGTGCGCAGTCCGGGTATGCAGACCTGATCCACCCCAGCAACCCTACATATACTCGGATCAATCGCCGGTCACAAGGCTGAGGCCATCCTTGAAAGGGTCTTGGAAGAAGACGGGGAACCCGCCTACCTACCCTCCCTTGTCCTTGGTGGGAATAAGCCAAGTATGAGTGACTTGCTGCTGGTTAGGGTGGGACCATCTGGAACGTTGACTTACACCCCGACTTTGCCTGGGCCTGTCTTACAGACTCTTCCAAGACTAGCTACCATTCGCTTCTCCTCGCCGTCCCTACCAAGAAGAGACTCCTCAGTGCACAAGGCGTGCCGGGGTGCTAGATTCCGTGCAGAACTCTGCACCGCCCAACCTTTACCTCGCCACAACTCTTCGCAAGGTCGCTGACTGGCAAGTTGCAGGGAGCATAGGTATCTCTTCAGTCGTCGACGAGGCCGTATACACTTCGACGTACTCCCACACGCGTACAGTCACTTCTCGCTCTAGCCTCTCTCGCGAGACGTCTGTGGCAGAAATCCATCCTTCTGGATAAACCACACTCTCATCACACTTCAGCTCGCGGCTGCTCTTCGGTTTTGCCACGGCCTTTGAGCACCACACAATTGGTCGCCGTTGTGCGGGGTTTGGGATCCAGGTGCTGGTAAGCTCACCTCACATCTTGCATATCACGATATCCGATACTGGGCATTTCCACTTCGCTTTATCGACATTCGGCTTTCTCTGGCACCTTCTTCTCTGCCTAAGCTATGCAGTGGCAATGGTCTATTTTCCTTTTCGCTAACCCGCTTAATAGAACACTTTTGTGTCCCTCTACCACGACCCTTTGACCTGTTGGGGCATCACGTATATGGATTCTTGGTGACGTTCATCAACGGCTTTATCGCATCCTGGTGCCTTCAAGCAAGCGCACCAGCCAGCAATTTTATCTGTCCCTCCCATCAACGTCGTCTACAACTGGAAGCCCCCAGTTGGTGTTTAAGCATCATGGGCTTTAACGTTCTGGCCGCACTGGCCCTCGCCTCTTATTTCATCTCTGTTCAAGCCCAGTCATTCTGGGAGGAGGGGCAAGTCAACACCACGCTATGCTACTGGCAACAGCCAAGAGGTTCGTGTTGATCATGCTCACTTGTAAGAGACTTTGCTAAGAAGAACCCAGCTGCCATTATCCGAGACACTATCTACATGGATGGTGGGAGGACATGGTGGATTCCAGGTATGGCTGATGGGTCTCTCGGGTCTTTGATCCCCGATGGTAAGCTGGTCATAAACCTTTCGTAACAGTACGTTCAAGCTGAAAATTCACAGACAACCCGTATGGTCGTATCTTCACCCTTAATCTTAGCACTCCCTTCGAAACCAAAGACAATGTTACCGCAAAATTCAGGATCAAGACTAAAGCCCCGCCCGGAAGTGTAGTCAACAACAACGACCCAAACTACATTGATGGCGCCTTGTTGGCAAATGACGCTGAATGGTTCGCCTATGGTGGCCTTCTCCGGAAAACCGCCGCCTTCAACACGGAGCCCGCAAAAGACCTAGTTTCTGGCTACAGGCAGTATCAGTACGGCACAGAAAAGCCAGGATTTGCCCCAGGCCTTTTCAAAAGCAGTCTGGAGACTGATAGCACGAACGTCACTCGCTACATTGCTTTTGGAGGTGCGGCAAGTGCGCCATCTGAGAATCTGGCGTGGTACTTTTCGGGAGTCCAAACAGAATCGAAAGGCCCCATCTACACCTCATCAGCCAACCGCTCAACATCACCTACTCGGATAGTCGATTCTTTGATTACGTTGGACATGAAGGAGCAACAGGACGAAAAGTGGAAGAACAGCACGCTTCCCCCCGGAATCTCTGGTCGAGCGAACCCTGAGTTGGTCTGGGTTCCCGTTGGTGCCAAGGGCATTCTCGTCGTTCTCGGGGGCGTCATTTTCCCTGATTTTATAAGTTCTGGGACCTCGGATAACGAGACCGAAAGCGTAAGTGTCACGCTCATCTGCATACGTTGCATCGACTCTAACTGGCAGACAGAAGGCAATAAGTCCCAAATTCATGACTACAATCGATGTATACGATGTTGCGAACGACCGATGGTACAGCCAGCCGACGACAGGCGACAACCCTGGACAACTCACTCGCGGCTGTGCCGTGGTAGCACCTGCTGAAGATCAATCAAGCTTCAACATCTATTATTACGGCGGCTACAAGGGACTCAAGGAGACCGATGACTTTAATGACGATGTCTGGGTGCTTTCCGTGCCATCTTTTACCTGGACGAAGATCACGTCGAGCACGTCCAACGGCCGGGCTGGACACAAGTGTTTCATGCCTTATCCTGATCAGATGTTTGTTATGGGGGGGTATACAAGTACGCCCGAAGATCGGCCTCCAGATTGTGTCACTGAGCTTGTTCGAGTGTTCAACTTGACATCCGGAACCTGGCTATCTGGATACGACCCTGCTAAGCACTGGTCCTATGGTGTTCCTGGGGCCATCCAAAAGAAGATCGGTGGTTCTGCTACAGGTGGTGCAACCGCACGCGCGCCGAGCAATGGCTGGGCTGCGGCAGATCTGGGAAAAGTCTTTGACACCAAGTATCCGACCAAGATCGCGACATGGTACCCGTATGTGTCTGAAGCGCCAGTAAACAACACTAATCCGACGTCTCCTGGCAGTGGTGATTCCCATGAGAAAAGATCAGGGGGTGTACCATCCTGGCTCCCTCCCGTGCTTGGTGTGGTGCTAGGGCTGATGCTCTTGACTATAATCGTTGTCCTGGTCCTCCTCTGGAGGCGCCGCAGGTTATTGAGGGCTGGCACCAGTGTACCCGAAACTGAAGACACAAATGGCTACCGAATTATGTCCTGGATGCGCGGTCAGCAGCAACACGCCACTGAAAAGGCCCCTACCGTCACGACCTCGGATGAACTCAGCACGATCCCTCATAGCCCCAGTCCTATGCAAGATCTGGAAAGCACAGGATCACCTATGCCGCCGCCCTCAATTGCCGAAGCTATGGACACACAGATTACGCCGCCGCCAGCCCCAGTGGAGTTGATGGGTACGAATAACCCACCATGATATTCAAATACATCTGCTAACTCTTAGTCACACAGATACCTCGCCTCCCGCCGAACTCCACGACACTAGCTTGAGTCACATTGATGTCTTGAATCGCCATTCGAGCGTCGGTCGAATCAACACAGCCGGAAATGGCTCTCTCAACAACCCGTCATATTACACGGGAGGGACACAGCAGATGGACCACGCGAGCAACCACACCCGCTCGTCCATGGGTGTTGCCTCTTCTCTGCCGCCGCATATGCAAGGCGTCGATGGTGCCCCAACCAACTTCCGTCCCGACTCGGAGCTGATGGGCAGTGTTCCATCCGGGGCTGCGTCCGCTAACAGAGACATGCCTTCACCCACGGTTTCACCAACCACCACAACAGCGACCCGCGGCTTTGCCCTCTCGGACGTCTCCAATGTCAGCGAGCGCGATAAGACACACCTCCGACAGATCAGCGACGCAACCGTGAGCTCCATGACCTCGGGACAAACGTCTCTCAACAACGGACAGCAACCATCCAACGTCAAGAGCAACCACCGCTTCAGCAACGGCCCAGCCCCCAGCTCCGTCCCTGAGGAACATGTGATCGATCAGCAGGGCGTGCAACAGGCGCCTGACCACCTCCCTACCCCCCAGTCCGCAACTTCCGCTATGGGCGGATCGCTGTCACTGGGATCGCCGCAGCCGATATCGCCGCCTACGGCAGGGTTAACGGAGGGGAGCGAGGATTACATGAGCGTTAGGCCACAGCCACCGTCAACGGCAGCTATTGGCTCAGGGGTCGCTGGAGGTGCTGGGGCGACAAGTAGTCCGAGACGGAGCATGTTCACGGAGAGCAAGGAAGATATGAATGGGACTGGCCCGGGAGGTGCTGGCAGGTAGTCAGGGAGAAGTGATAAGAGGCGGAATGGGGTGGAAGCGCTTGTTATGATTGGGTAATTAACGAGCTAGATGCGAGACATTTGATGGGACAGGCCATGGATGTGTGCTGGGTTTCGCCATTTTCCCTTTGTCTAGTGTTTAGTGGGTCCAACTCACTGACTTCACGGTCTAGTCATGTTCAATGTCCATATCAATGATGGGATTCGGGGCCTGGGACTAAGCTGGTAGATACCTTTTGACAAATGAACCTTGCTTTGTTGTGTTTTGCAGGATTGATGTCCCACGAACTCCAGTAATTATCTTCGCGCCATTGCTAAACTGTATTGGCTCGCTCATACAAGGTGTCATTTTACCTTTCCAACATCGGATGTTCCTCGCTGGGAGAAGCACAACTTCACCCTTTTTTTCACTTTTTTCATTGCGTTTTCTCTTTCTTTTTCTTTTTCTTTTTTTTTTTTTTTTCTTTCTTCCCTTTACTTCCTACTAGTATCCATTCCTGATCACGGTCTTTGATAACTTTCCGATGACACAAAGAAAACATTCAAATATCGCGATCCACGTCGTTATGTGAAGTTGCATCAGGCGAGAGAGTTTGCGCTCTGAACCCAGCAGTGAGTGGACAAATGGGAGATATATAATGTCTTGCTCCAAAAGCCAAAATAACAACCGTCCAATAAGCCCGCATGGCTCAGTGGTAGAGCGCATCACTAGTAATGATGAGGTCGTCAGTTCGATTCTGGCTGTGGGCATTCCAACAATCGAAAGCCTGATAAGGTTTATAAGTCTCTCGTTTTTGTTCTTTTGGATATGGCGTGTTTTTGGTGAATTGTACTGGACATGGAGTTGTGGCTTTTATTTTTTTGTTTTTGTTCCGTTTGGTGTTGGGGAACCTTCCCGTTTCTTGGGACGGACGGGTGGGAGGTGGCAGGTGGCAGGCATGCATGTGAAGAGTTCAGAGCGTAGGTGAGGTAAGGTGATTGACCCTAACCTGACTTACCACCAACGGCTGTGACAAGTGCAGCCAATGATTATTGGAATTGACTGTGAATCGTGTGGCTCCTTCTGCTCTTTCCTTCACCATTCTCTCTTCACTTCTTCCTTTCTCCGATTTTTTTCCTTCTCTCTTTTTTTCCCCCTTCGTAATCGTCAGTTCATTGCCGTGGAATTCAAGCTGCCCCGGACTGACCCTCCAGGTTGGGCAAAGTATCTACCAAAGTGGTCGTAGCGTGGTTGGCAATTGGGACCTGAAAGTCGCTGAAGGCGCCCTACGCCTGCCCGGGCACTCTAACAGTGCTCCAGGGCGCTGAATTTTAGGGCCGTGCCACCCGGACCACCGAAGCTTACCGTGCAAGTGGGTAAGTGAAATGCGTGCGCGGCTGGGCCTGACCGATGTCATTTTCGCGCCCTTGATCTGTCAACCAAATAATGCACTGAAACAAATACAAGTGAGATTATTGTTGATCCCATCCATTCTGGTATTGCATGTAATTTTCCTGACGGTCATTAAACGTGCTTGAGCGCCGAAAATGCCGAGTGTCCCAAGTGAGTTTTGGCCCACCCCTAACCTCGAAGTCAGCTTCGCGCCTGCTGCTCGACTCCGGCCCAGTGTCAGGTATCACTGCACCTGGCATGACCGAACCTACTAACCAACTACCTCCACAGATTGTACATTTGTGTTTTGTTGCGGAGGAAAAGAAAATGCTTCGAGGCCCTTGAAGGCTGGATGGGATTCAGCAAAGTGTCAAAGTTTTGAGAAAGAGCGACGATCTTTTTGATACTTCATGCCGCCGCGGCATATGTGTCCAATGAGCTTTGACTGCGCCTTTCTTTCGAACTAAAAGATGTGAGATCAGCCGTATCAAATTGAACCGCCTAGACTCCAGCCGGATACCGGACCGGGAGTTAGGGAAAGTTACGTTGCATATATGCACATGTATCATGTAGGAGCGTTGTCGGTTGTTGGGGCTTTGGAGATTTCAGTCCGGCAAAGTATCTCTATCTACTCAAATATGTAAGTTTGGATGTATCTACTATACTCACCAGTTTTGCTCGGAAGAGCAGGTGTCATGGAGAACCCAAGCGGTGATAGTAACCAAGGGAACAAATAAGTGGGAGTTTTTATGGTCTTGTGTCAATCTGGCCGTGATGCACGGGTTCCGATTTGCGGTACAAATGCAGTATTTTTCGAGTCGATTATGAGATTAGAGGGTTTGATCTGAAGAGGGTTTCAAAAAATCACGAAAAAAAAGAAAGAAAAAAGAAAAGGAAAAGATGAAGAAGAAGGAAGAAATGAGAAAGGGACCAAAGAATGGCATGGGTCGAGCCGTAGCGATGTCTTCATATCCGAGCCACTTTGGTCGTTCCTACGGTGTGTCCTAACAGAGCTATTTCGCCTGTTCCTCTATTAACATTCAATTAATGCAGTTCCGTGTGGACGTGACCGGACAATGTTCATATCCTCTCCTACATGATGCGAGGGCAGTGTGAGTCTCAAAGAGGAGTTGCATATATGCACGTCCCTCATTTCTATTCCTGATCAACTGCATTTTTTTTCTTTTTTTTAAGGACACTTCGTATGACATTCGAGCTTTCCCACCTTCCCATCGTTTCTTGGTCCTTCGCAACTGACAATGGGCTTTTAGCACGCATCTCGAAGTTTTCGTGAGGTGGGAATCAGTAAGTGGCTCCGTCTGTTGCTGAAAATCACGTACAGATAGGAAACAATGAAGATCAAGCCGGTCTGAAGGGCTATGGTATCCAAGTTTTCCCAACAGTCCGCCAATTTGCTCGGGCAGACCAGTGCCGTGGTTGGAATACTGGATGGCCAGCAAGGTTGCTCTTGAGGGGATTCGGTCAGCAAAGTTGACGTCTCCCTGGCTTCCCTTGTCAAAAGCCGTGTCAAGAGAGGCCTTCGTGCCTCGAACAAGTTTGCTCTGAGAGAAGGAGTAGGAGCCGGAGAACTGACGATCATGCTCTTCCTTGTCTTCCATATGCGTCTTGATCACCTTCTCAATTTCTGCGCGCAGCTTTTGGTCGACATCAACGCCTAAATAGACGCAATCCTATTCGTACTTGGCGATAGCGCTGCTGAGAGTTGGGTACGCTTTGACCTTGTTGCTGCTCTCGCCAGCAGCAGCCGAGCGAGATTGCACAACTCGGGTCGGAGCTTTGCGCGCCTTTCTCGGGGTCGCCTTGCCCGACGGAGTCTCAGCACGAGTTAAGGTAGGAGCAGCTCTGATTACTGGCTGCAATGCTTCACGAGCCGTGGTGGCCAGCCAGGCGATCTCTCGAGATTCCTGGATGTCGGTGAAGTCGATGTCGCTGCTTCTGACGACACGACTATGTGCAGCGACGGCGGGAAAGCGATGGAGGAACAAGAACGAGGTGCAAGTGTTTTGGGGGCGATGCGCTGTTCGAGGAAGGAGGGCGCCGGACTGGCTAGTCTCCCACATACACCGCAAATGTGAGGAAATGGTATGGTAGTAGATCGGGATGTCCGTGTAGACTATGACCCTCTGTGCAGCTTCCCATCGCTCCCCCTTTGAGAGCTCTTTCTTTCAATATCTTGCCCGGTCAATGAAGGCTACCACCTCAACGGGGGTTATTGGAGCATGACTCGAATCAACGACATCCTGAAATTAACCGACAAACCAGACGGGCAAAAGCAAAATCTTTGAGTATTTGATGGGCCGAACGCATTCGCCATCCATGAGGTCCCTGTTACGCCCATTGACGACGAGTTCCGCGAACGCGATCTGGCCACGCTCAAGAGGCAATTGCTTCCTGAGCAGACAATTGCCTTCATCCTGAAGACAAAGGCGCCACAAACCGCCGACTATGTCGCCGGCGTGTGCCGCTATATTGACACTCGAGCCATCGGGCAACACACAGAATGCGAACGTAGGTGCGGGTGTAGTGGTGAAGTGGCAGGCTTTTTTTTTTGTGACCACGCAGCCACGGGCTTCGCCAGCCTTTCTTGAATTATTCTTGCAATGGGCGGGATATAAAGGGAATGCAACAGCGCGTACATGGCACATTGTCTCTTGCCTCATTCAATGTACTGCTACCACTATCCAAGTCCATAAACTTCCGAGTCCAGGCCCGTCTAAACTATATGATCTGCTCCTTCTCCGTGTCCTTGTCCATCCGATCTTGATATCGTCCAACATTGACATGAGCAAGCCCTTCATCTTCTTTTATTTAAATTCACAGACATTCTCTCCATACTCACTGAGAATAAAACATCCATTCTCTCCCCGCTACCAACTGCCCGACAACATTTCCAAATCTTCCATATCACGGACATCGATTCAATTTCCTCCAAAATCGACTTCCACGCTCCCCATCTGCATTGGTCCCTTCCCCTGGTGCCATTTCCACTTGCTCTACCATCATGTCTTCCTTTACCGCCAGAAAGACCGCTGACGTCTCGGGATCAAGTGCGGGTGCTTTTGTTGCGGCGAACGAATATCCACAACTCCAAGAGCACTTCACCAAGAATGATATCGTCCCCAATGCACCCGGACCAATTGCGGAAGCTTTCCTCGCCGACTTCCCCAACGGCCCAGAGAATAACTGGTGTGGCCTTCATGCAATCAGAAACAGCATGTTGGCCTACATGTGACAAAACCCCCTTGTGCACGTGAGGGCGCCCACAATTCCCGGGCTTCTAAAGGCTTTAAAGGACCATGCTACCAAAGTCTTTGAAGGATGGTGCCAGCTAATCCCAGACTACAAGGTGACCCAATTTTACTTCAGTGAAGATGAATTAAGGGAAATTTTCAAAGCGTGGGCATCTGACCTCGGGTCCAATCACAGACGGTGCCGTGTACCGTTGGGAGATACCATTCCACTAGGTACGTTTTGCTAACCAATACGATAAAGCCGCCCCATGTATTGGAGAATCGTGTTCATGTTCCATACGAAGGTAAGTCTAATACCGACGTGGCAAGCATGGTGAAGATTCAAGCCGGCAGCATGGACGGCAGAGTTCAGAATGAGAACGTCCATATGCTTCTTTGCATTATTCCATGCCGAGACAACCTAGCCACGCTCGGCCTGACACCTGGACAGGAACCGCTAGAGGTGTGCAGCTGGGCTTCATACTAGTCGCCAATGCAAGGGAGCAGCTACTCAACCTCCAACTAGAGATTACCGAGTCGACTGAGTTCAGACTGCCTATCCTGCGTATTTGGATTTTTCACAACGGCCACGAGCACTGGGAATGAATCCACCCAGGCCCTCTAGAAGATGGGTTTAAACAAGTGGTGCCGCAACTCGACCATCATCAGTCTGAGATGCGGCCATCGATTCCTCACACTCTTCATGGAAGGCAGCCGGCACTTCCCACTTGGAGCCTCCAGCCAAAGCAGTACCCCAAACCCCAGCAGCTCCCAACTGCCACTCCAGACCTTGATGTGATTCCTCCTCGGCCATGGACTCAAGTTACATCAGTCCCAGCTCTTTCCATCGGTGGATTCCAATCACAGCCGCAGCTTGAATACAAGTCTGACTTGGGCCACCTGGACGAGCTGCATTTCCATGTCCCCTCCGAGAAACCCTACCAGTCACTCCATTCCCCCCTTCCCCTAGCGACTTACAGACCATACCAACCGCCAGAACCTCGCACCAACGCCCCGGAGCTGCAGGTGAAAAGTCTGCGCAGAGGATGCCAACATGAATTGTTTGACATACAACATGGGATGCATACCACATCCGCACCTCCGCTTGCTCCTACTTGCATTTCGTTGGGCTTAGGAGTAGGTCTCGAGTTTCCTCCAAGCTGGTATTCACCACCTCCTCCAACTCCTTGGTATTTGCCTCCTGGTTTTAATTTACCGGGGCCTCCAAATTTCTCTCCCTTTTCAATTTAGGTGCCTCTACCTCTCGAGGAGCCTGAATGGACCCTCTTCCCCTCACCATCTCCATTGACCCCTTACACCCAACCATTCTCCCAACTGGAGCAACTGGATTGGAAACAGCTGATCATGGCTGGTTTCCAGGGGCAAAGGCTTCAAGTACAAGCGGGGGGTCAACAAGCCTCCAGTCAACCCGTGCAGCCGTCGGTGCGTCCAGCAGCCCAAAAGCGGCGCATGATGTTGACCGAGGTTGAGGACGACAAAGGCCAAGAAGAGGAGAGACCGGCAAAGAAGAGGAGGAGGAGGAAGCGGAAGTGGAAAGCGATATCGTGGGAGGTCCATGTTCCGGCCTCTCCTTCACGGGGCTCCTGCTCAGATACCGGCACGCCATTCGGGGGTATTTAGGCTGCCCAGTGGTATCCGTTTCTCCTTCTTCCGTTTGACGGCTATCCATCTTGGTCAGATAGCTGGGATTTGGGGGCTGCAGGGCTGAGGAAAGGGTGGATCGGGTTGGCTTCTTCACTGGACTAAACATTGGATTGGCATCATCGGGCTCGCATCTACCTTGGGTGAGTATTACTGGTATTGGGATTTTGGAGACGTTATGTTGGAGGTCAGAAAGGCATCTTCCGCGAAGGATACAGCATACTAAATTGTTTAGACGTTAGAGCTCACGCGTTACGGTTCACGAATCACTACTATTTACGACTCACGATGTACGAGTTATGAAGAGTAATCAAGAGACAATTTGGTATCCAGAGGTGCCCTACATGAAGCTCGCAAGGTGGTTGACCTCAATGTGCTCGTGGTCGTGCGTGATGGTAATATGAAGGGCACATCGGTTTATTTGAATACCTAGCGACAGATGAAATTTAGTGAATATGGCACAAAACAGGTGATCAGACATAATGCTTACGGATGTTTTTGATCTCCAAACCAGGCGGAGAGAACTGACGGTGATACGTGCTTGGGTGATGGTGATGGCTTGCTGGGTCGCATGGGGTCGCTAATCTACATTCGACCGTGGGAAATTCAAGGAAATGAAGTAGGTCATAATAGACAGTCAATTGACGCTCGATGACGCCTTCCGCCTCTAAACCTACCGCTTTCCGTCATGGCCCCAAAAAGGGAGTCACTGTAGACATCAACATCCAATGTCTCAACCCATTTGAAGCTTTGTCGGTATCTTCACGTCCGAAGAAGTTATTGATGTAGTTGTGCCGCAACATCTTGAGCATGAAAGAGGACACGGATGATGCGACGGTATTTGCACACGCTGGTGAGATCAAAGGTACCTAGTGAAGATGGCAGTCGATTGACAACATGTGAAACCACCTCCCGGGCCGTATTCGCTCGGCACGAGTCTGCAGTCCTGTTAGATCGTGTGACTTTACTTTGTTTCTATTGCACCCACGTTGACGGATGCTCATGCCGTGGCAGTCCAGTCTGGTCATGGCCAAGATGAAGTTCAGGTCAAGTTGACAGGCGAGCAGAGTGGAGGAGAGGCACCGAAATGCACCTTCCTTATGCCGTTCACATAAGCCGCCGAAGATGTCCATGGTGACCGGCACTTACAACTGCCGTCCGTCAAAGTACTTGCACTTGCCAACCTCCCGTCTGAGTCGTGGAAGCACAACAGACTGTTTCCAGGTTCTGGCATCGCAGATGCACCTCGGAATGCTGTGGAGTCTGGCTGCCCGGTTGCAGCAATAAAGTGCAGACACCTCAGCTACGCGATTACAGGTGAGATAGAAGGGATGTAGATACCTCCCAGATTCCATATATTCATCGTGGAATCAGATGAGACTTGTCTCAGAAGGAACAGACGACATTAGTGTACTTTCCAGACGGGAGGAGGTGTTCAACAACAACCCCTTACTGCAAAAAAATGTGGATATCCACGCCTGCAAGTTGTTCTTTTCCACGCTGAGGTCCTTTTTTCACGTTGATTATATAGTACTCGGCTAACAAAAACGTGACTCTGTATCCAAAGAATCGGGAACTCCCGGGATCGCTGTCAAAACCTACCCAAAAATTGGAGCGAGCGATTTGAGCTGATCACCTAGGCACTTTGACCGATTTCGCTTCCAAGCACCAACCTGATCGGAGATGAGCGGACAATACTAGCAGCAGTTGAGCTAGCTTATCTACACTATCATTGTGTAAAACGAAGGAACAATGACGGAAGACACGGGTGGAAACTAAGGCCCAGATGAAGAGAAAGAGCGAATGCGGTCCGTGAGAAATCTCCAATCAAGGGTTCCCTTGCTTCCATGGCAATACCCGACTCGAGTCGTCACTACCTTCAGTTCCGTAGAGAAAGAGGTAGCTTGATGTGGTGCTCACCACGCTTGATTCATTGTTCTTTGATCGTCGTCTCTTTTTCTTTTTCTTTTCCCAAGTTTCCCGTTAATGGCGTTGGTAGGTAGGGTTTGGTATCGACGCAAGGTTCCCCTCCGCAGCCTTGTACTCAAGAAGATCGGGAGTTCGTGGTCTTTCATGTAAAACGTCCCGCGTGCGCGGATCATAGTAGCGAGCGAAAGAAATGTGTATGTACTGTACCTACCTACACATCATTGCTCACATCAATGAATGAAAGGCAAGGATACGATGTCATTTCAAAGTTTATTCCTCCAGGCTTAATCCCTCATTCAGTTTTGAGCTTTGTTCACACAATGATTACACGGCTGACCTGTCGTTCAAGCTTGATCCTTTCAAATGGTCCTATCGTTTTTAACACGTGCGTATGATCAACAAAGCAGAAGCGGATACTTCCTTGCTTCCCATATAGTTCGGAATTCATTCCGCACCGTCATCAATTGGGAAACTGAACTTGTTCCGGATACTACTGTAGTAAGTAAAGTTACTCTGCAACTAAGTGCTTGCTTTCTGGGCCGGAACGAAGTTGGTTCTGGTAAAGGGAAGAATACTGGCCATACTGTGCGTGCGTGTTGAGGGTTTGTCCCGAGAACTAACTGGAGAAAAGCCCAAGGAATGCATCTCCCTCGCTTGAGGTCTCGCCAGGTACGATCCCTATTGGCCAGTTTCTTTCCGTCTGTTTTCATTCCTGGACTTTTGGCATCGACGACGAGACAAGGCGCTTGAGGGGGGCAACAGTACTGTAGATAGATAGATCCCTAAGCATACAACGGTGACACCGACCGGACCGATGATACACTAAGTAGCATCATGTGTAGTCCGACTGAAATGGACATCCGCTCGGGGCCGGGAGGAATGTAACCTCCCCTCCCGGGCCCCCGGCTAGTCTTCAGTTTCAAGCCATTCGCCGATTATACACAGCCCGCAAAAGCACAGATCCATGCGCTCACCTTCCTATACCTTTTACTTCCCCGTAATGAGCTGAGGATATTATCCACTTTCTTGTGTATCTTGAATGTCCCCGTCAAATGCGCCCGCGCTATGCGCGGCTGATAAGGCTTCCCTCCCCCTCAATTTATGAACCCCGTCTCACCTCACTCCCGATTTTTTTTTTTTTTTCGCCTCAACTTGAACTGCCATTCTTATGGCTTGTTCTTTCTTCAGCTGAGCTCTGCTTGGGAAGGTCTTTGGAAGATCTTCGATGATTTCGGAGGCTCGGGGTTCGTCACTTTTTCAGATTTCCGGAAGACGCTGTGAACTGGGAAAAGAAAAAAAAAAAAAAAACGCCAATCAAACCCTGCATATGGCCTAATTTAAATTACCTGCAGCCTTTAGGGTTTTTGGCGCCATCTCCCCCCCCCCCCTGGCAGCATTTCATATCTTTCTAGAATCTCGCTAGAATTTCTTCATTCCCCTGCCTGCTCAATGAATGTGTCCGCGTGGTCTTCGCTATTCCCGTTGATATGTTGGCTGGGTTTGTTGCTGGGCTGATGTCAGATTCGGAGATACCTTGCGGTCAAGTAAGATGATGTCCGGAAAAAGCGCTCTCCTAGTAGGGAGAAAGAAAGTTCGTGGCACTGTTACTCGGGAACGAGCGAAGCGGGACGCATCATGATACGAAGCTTGAGAAGCTATCGCTGGGCTGTTTGACTTTGTAGAAAACGTGTGTGTGGTGGAAACGGAAGCAGAAGTGGAAATAGAAGGCTTGCAGAACTTCAACTAGAGATTGTGTGTCTCATCAGGCATCCTGTTAGCTGGGCGTCGGGCGGAGGCTTTCCTTCCATTTGTAGCAGAATGTGGAAATCTGGAAAACAAGATTAAATTTGATGCTCAGAGAGTTACCAGGGGGGGGGTGGTCCTGGATGGAAGGTAAGCATGGAAGGCATGGAAAAGACGAATTGTCTTTAACAAAGAGAAGGGGTCCAGTCATGGCTCAGCTGTGTTGCCGAACCGTGAACTGGCCGATCCCCATGGTGTGGGAATCACGAACGGTTCCCGCGTCTTTTGAACCTTGTGGGGTCCAATCCCGTTCAGCCGCTTTCCTTCTCAGGAGAGCCCGGGCCCTGGGAATGGATGGATGTTGGTGATGATGTTTTGTGGGGTTCCGGTTTTTTTTTTTTTTTTTTTTTTTTTTTTTTTCTTTTTTTGTTCGGTACTCCTGGTGTCCCGTCAGCAACTATTGTGAAAGTATAGGCGCATATTTTGGCGTTTGCTTTACGGTGGTGTTTCTGCACTACACTAAAACAGTAATGCCTTGGGTGAGGCTTCTTGGCGAAAGCCCACAACCCCGTTGACCACAACTCCACGAACGACAATCTGGACCTCGCGGTTCTTACCACCTGCTCGGACACCACGGACGAACGAGATGCGCGAACGCATCATCATCCGCTGCATGAAACCACTTGGCACTGCTGCGAACCCCGCCATGCACCGCTAACGCAGGTGCAATGCAGTACACACACTAAATATCCGTGGTGTGGTGGAGGCAGTGTCAAGAAGCCAGTGGTACTACGTCCGTACTCCGTAGAAGCGCTGGACTCCGCTTGGAGTTGCGCCTTTGGAAGCCACCGAAGCCTTCTGGCGGGTTGCAAAAGACGTTGATGTCTCGTGACACTTCAGTTCGCTTCAGATGTTCCGAAGGGCGGTGGACGAGAACGGCGGGGAGACGGCAGAAAAGGGTCGTTTTATGTTGCAGAGATCATCTCTGGTGATCGCGATGTCATTCTCTCCCAGGAGGGAGTGCCAGTGGGAGATGGCCGCTTAGGTTATTAAAGGTGGATTCGTTGGTGGAGTGGGTGAAAACAGAGCCATTTCTTGGCCGTGATGGTCAAGGCGCTTGACCGAGACTATGACGATAGTGCAGCGTGTGATAGAAGGGATATGTCCTTCCATGGACGAGATGCATCTTGCTTCGACAGCAGAAGACACAGTACGGAGAACTAGCACACAACGATCGGGGTTCTTTTAGTGTCACTATTGTGCGAGCCTTGGAAATGGTGGTGGTGAGGCTCTCGAGCAATGTGCCCAGGATAAAGGTCGTGCCAGTTCGTGGCAGGGACGTGCCGTACCTAGAAACTGACTTGCATGCTGTGCCGCCTTAAATCGGTATATAGTTGTTGGCTGAGGTGAGAAGATAGAGTGGGGGTTGTGCCGTCTTTGGGGAAGAGCTGTGCATATGTTTTGGTTGGTAATCATGATTCGAGGTTGGTGATCTTCCTTCCAACGCAAGTCCAGATCCCTTGGACCGAAAGGCTACTTAAGGCTCAAGGCTGAACCGCCGTGCTGGTTACGGTATGCTGCTGTTGCCTTGTGTCGAAACACGGGGAGTGGATGCCTTGCCCCAAGGAAATAAGAAAAGGAGGAATGGAGATAGCAAGAGAGTGAGACAAAACGGTCCCAGGGACGTGGATGAAGAGGCTCGGGAACCGCAAGCTGAAGCGGTCGGCTACTGGCGAGTCGAGTCCACGTCCAGCGTCGTAGGAGTAATTTGCCATGGTCCATCGAGAACTGGGGCTCGTGGGACGACTAGGACGGAAATGTCTAGACGGAGAGACGGTGTCGGCGCCCAAGCAGGATCTGGATGATTACCTGCCCTGCTATCGTCGAGGTTTGCGCCGGGCATTGGTCGGATGGTGAGATACTGATGTTCGGTGCGCACAGTCATCACACATGAGTGAAGCAGAAATCGCATCTCGATGCCATGATTTATGTATTCCAACCATCAGACAGTTCAGTTTTGCCCGTGACCGCCTTGCCTTCCGTCCTCCAAAATGATCGATAGAGAAAGTGGACATTCAGATAAAGGCCCCGGCCCCGTCCGTCGTGACGGACTTCCACTTCTGTGATATACAGTGTGGATGTTGAGCTGCCTTCCTGTACCCTCCCGGTTGGGCGCTGCGAGAAGAGAACTGAAAGCTCCGTCGGCCAATCAGTCAGGCCATATAGCCCTGCCTGCCCCAGAAACGAGCTCGAACCATGAGCGACCATCTCCTTTTTGGGGCACGTCCACCACCACCACTTGGGCGCCCGTGCATCGCCGGGTCTTGGCTACCCCTTGAAGCTACAGCACCTATTTCCCTTGCAACTTGCAACCTCAGTTCACCAAGACAGTGTGAGAAACAAGACAAGGAAGAGTCCTTTTGCCTGCAGCTCTCCATTTCGCGGCCAGCAAACCCACACTTCTTTGAGCAGGCAATATTCCGTAGCTCACGCCATTTCCCATCTGGCGTTTCCATTCTTTCCTTCTTCGCGACTGCTGTCCAACCTCGACCCTTTTCTTATTTTTTCCACGTCACAAACTGAAGCGAAAAGCACCGTTTGTGGTTTTTCATCGCCGCGTTTCCTGTCCCTTGCCAGCCAGCAACCACCATTTTCTTTCTGTCGACAGAACTTTCTTAGCTCTAATCGCCCGATACCTATCCAACGAACCAACCCTCCTTCCATACTGTACAACTTCTACCTACCAGTCGGCCGACTTCCGCTTTCTCCCTACCGCAGCTTCTGCAAATCTACTAGCGCCCCTACCTCTACCTAGCAGGTATGTACCACTAGCTTGTAGCCTCCCTCCCCTAAGACAGAGACGGACGGGATCCCTGGGCAGCACTGATCATCGGCCAGTAGTGGCTCGTTTCCTCGTCGTTCCTGCTTGCTCGTCTCCACACCGGCTGCTGCACTCTGCTGCACTGCACTCTGCGCACCCGCCGCTCAATTCACCGCAACCACCACCCGAACAACCTCCCACCACTTGCCGTCCGGCTCACCTCAACTTCCACTTCCACTTCCGCTTCTGCTCGCTCGCTCGCTTCTCCGTCGTCAAGACTGCGCGCTTCCCCTGACAACACGCTTTCTTCCAAGGAACCTCGCTTCCTCCTTCTACAGCCATCGTCGCCATCCCATCCTTCGACCTTTAATTCTACCCGCCTTCGCATCCAGGATCCCCCCTGAGGGCTGTATTCACCACCCAGTGACGTTTGTCTGCACCGTTGCGCGAGCGACTTAAACCATTTAATCATTTGAGGAGGCCATTCAATATTGCCCCTCGTGTCGACATCTCGACTTTTTCCAACCTTTTACATTTTACATCTTCTTTAATCAATAGCCACAATGGCCAACAAGGTAAGTCGCTCCGCAAGCCTTCATTATCTCGCCCTCCTCGATTGAGGCGTACTCTTGGGTTCAATCGCCTGCGGCATTTCATTTGGCTGACATCGCTCTCTTCCCCTTTTCGCAGTTCACAAGAGAATACAAGCTGGTGGTCGTCGGTGGCGGTGGTGTCGGTAAATCGTGCCTTACCATCCAGCTAATCCAGGGTCACTTCCTTGACGAATATGATCCTACAATCGAGGGTGCGCTACAACCTGGACCCTCTCAATCTACGTTCCAATTTTCTTGGTCGTGATTGTGGCCTAGTGAACCGTGGACTAACTTCGAGCACAATAGATTCGTACCGCAAGCAATGCACCATCGACAATGAGGTCGCCCTTCTCGACATTCTAGATACCGCCGGCCAAGAAGAGTACTCGGCCATGCGCGAGCAATACATGCGCACTGGTGAAGGTTTCCTGCTCGTTTTCGCCATCAACTCGAGGGAAAGCTTTGAGGAAATCAGGATCTACCAGCAACAGATTCTTAGGGTCAAGGACAGGGACTCGTTCCCCATGATCATCGTCGGAAACAAGTACGATTTGAGGGGAGAGCGCGTTGTTTCGGAGCAGGGTAGGTTTTCACTTCTTCATCCTTGCGAGGGCCAGGACAGTACGCTGACAACACTTGGCAACAGAGGGACAAGCTCTTGCCGCCGAGTTCGGTACCAAGTACATCGAGACTTCCGCCAAGACACAACACAACGTTGAGAACGCTTTCTACGATCTCGTCCGCGAAATCAGGAAAGAGGACAAGAAGCTCGGCGAGAAGGTCGGCGGCACCTCATTCGCCAACAACAATGGGGCAGTTAAGCAGATGGACGTCGGTGACGAGGACGTCCAAGCAGGCTGCTGCGCCAAGTGCATAATGATGTGAATGATCGAAACCAACAGGGGAAGAGCAAGCGGGGAGTTAAAAGAATTGGGACACGTTTGCAATGAAGAGATGGACGATCACACACACACACACACACACACACACACACACACACACGCACACAAAATCCGGACTTTATAGACGACATGGATGTGCAAACAACCGAAACACAAAAGCCATATCGGACGGCCACGCCCATACCTTAGCTCACGTACGGTGACCAGTCGGGCTCAGGACCACGGGACCAGCGGAAGGAATATCCGCGTTTGGAGAAATTCAGGCGAGAAGGGGGTTAGGAACCGGGACCGGGCACACACATTCTTTGCATTTTGTGGGCATTTGTTGCAGTGGCACTTATGCGGATGAGCTGAGCGACTTGAAAAAGTTGCTTTCAGTTACCAACCGACCGCTGGGTTTTTAATATCACACCGCCGCTGCTACAATCCGCTCCTTGGCGTTCGTGAGGCGTGGTCGGTTTCTCTATCAGCGTCTGGAAGAGGTCGCCGAGGGAAGAAGGAAGGCTGGGTTCGGTCTGGTTGGTTCGGCGAAGGGGTTGGTTGGTTTTGGTTTGGTATAATCCTGGTTCTGTTTGGTCTGGTCTGGTCTGTCTGGGGTTTTTGTTGGCACGTTTCTGTCCGTGTTTCACGATCCGCGGATTTTGTGATCAAATACTTCTTTCTGCTACCTTTTTTCACTTTACACAATTTGGGAGTCGTTTATCCGCGAGAGAACTGTACTTGCTATGGATGTTATGTCATGGTGGGGATTCTGATCGATACTGGGTTTGCAAACTCTCGAAAGAAAACCGTTTATTTGTAATTCATTGTTACTAAACCTTCTGCCTTTTTTTTTTCGTTTTCTTCGTTAGTGCCTGGTCCGAGTGTGTTTCCTCACGTTATTCGTATGTCCCACATATCTTGAAAGTATGCATGAGGTGGTAACGTAGTTGGTGGTTGGTGGTTGCCAGTTGTCAAGCGGTCGAAAACCTCATCCTCGCTGATTGAATGTCTTGGGTGCTCCAATGTCGTGATATGCATGGCTGTAGTGTCTGGAATCCACGGACATGGACTGTCGAGAGTTCACAGCTGCTCGTCCACCTAGTTATCACTGCAATGAGTGATTCCTGCCGGGACATCGGCCTTGCATACCTATGATCAAATGGCCATGTGACCCAACAAGGCTGAAGCCTTCTCGGGCAACAACCTGAGCACGCGCAGCTGACAAATGATAGACAGCAAGCATATTACTCGACGGATGGACATCAAGGTAAGCGGCGGCCAGTCTTGAGTAAAGAAGGATGTTGAACCCATCATCGATCGGCCTTGTCAACCATTATAGTAACTACACCACTCATATAGTGACTGATTATTCGCCCTAATATAAAACTTATCAAGCGTAGGTTGTTACTGCATTGCAGAACGTGGTCTAAAAACCTGACTCTAGGTATGCACACCGCTTGCCACTTTCCTTCGTTCCTTTCCTTTCCTTTGGTTGCTACCAATGCATCACTTCACTTCAGTTCACTTATGTTCGGCGCTCGCTTTATTCGTCTAGTATAGATCGACCCATGGCTAGATGTCGCTTATGATCTTCTAGTGCGCTTTAACTCCTTTCCCACTGAGAAAGAAAAACTCATCGCTCTTGCGTGTGGTATAAATTTAGGGGCTTGAAGTTACACGCGCAAACCCATTTCAACCACTCTTCTCTTTCCAACCTCCACGACGTTTGGCACGTTGTATTCCCTAACTACTAGTGTCATCCTCGCTTTCGGTAGTCACGATCTGGCCTTTGACGAAGTGACTGACTTCGGGGGCGATGGAGTTGAGGAAGTCTTTGTCTCTGTAAACGGGTATGGTTAGCTGACGTGCTTCATTGTCCGAGGCGCAAGGGAAAAGGTGCAATAGAAGGTAAAGACTTACTTTCCAACAAGGGTAACTGTGTTATGCTTGTCCCCCCATCGGGGGTAGCTTCCAACCTTGACGCCCTTGGGCTCAACTCTCGCTGCCAGCTCAGTGAGATAAGCGGCAATAGCGCTCTCAGGGAGTGGCGTGGAGATGGTAACTCTGGAAATACCTTTGCCGTCGGGATCGACTAGGCGCGGTTGGATGGAAGGCTTGAGGCCGTCTAGGAGTTTCTCGACTGTGGAGCATTCGTTAGCGTTCGCTTTGTACAATTTTCCTCGACACTGCTTCGAATTCTGTGACGATGGGAAAGGGAAACATACACAACCTAGGCACGCCCGGCAAGATGTGCACATTTCCATTGACCACCGCAACTGGCACCCAAAGTTCCTTGCAAGGAAAGAGGAACTGCTTCGCCGGGTCTCTGTTGACGTCTGTCGGTAGCTCCACCATGCGGAGCTTTGCAGTGAGAACGGGCGATGGCTCGTCCCAGTTGAACGGTGGCTCGCCCTTGCGGGGAACAGAAAGCTTTTTCATGAGTTCAAAAGCCTCCTCGTTCAGCTTGAGAGGCAGACCGAAGGCTTTGGCTATCGATTGGTAGGTAATGTCGTCGTGGGTGGGGCCGATGCCTCCGCTATTGTTTGATGAGGTCAATGATGCGTCCTGGACACTCGAAGAAAACTCGGTGTTGGTAGTACCTGGTGACTACAAAGTCGTAGCGGTCACTCATACGGCGGACAGCCTCGACGATTTCATCTTCGTCGTCGGCGATGACTTCAATCCTCTTGAGATTCTGATACGGGGCATCTACAGTGAGCTTGGTTCTTCCCGGGACACTGGAGTGGAGGGTTGGAACTCACAATTCCCAAATTGAAGCACCATTTTGCCATGTAGTTGGAATTGGTCTTTGATAAGTCAGTATTGACGCTTAATGGCAAGAATTTATGAGTTCTTTACTTACATCTTTGGTCTATATAACAGCGGAGGACAGATGTTAGTCTCATCTTTGACTGTCACCCTACTAGGTGTAGCACGTATCAACTGGACCTGCCTTTCCACCCAAAACCTCATCACCAATAATCAAACATGCTGCTGTATGAATAGTCCGCGCATTGCGCTCATCTGCCGTGACTGTTGACCCCATGATGCTGTTGAAGAATCCTGCTGAAGTCCGGCGCGGAGCTGATGTTGATGGGGCAACAAATGACGTTATCGCTGGCCGTAACAAGTGCCAAGCAACCTGGGATAAACGAGAGAACATGAAGGTTTTATGTCCAAGAGAAGTTTGTCTTGTAAGACAAGACTGTTTTTTTGGGATTGAAATAACTGAAGAGAGGATTGAGGGGAAAGTCCACTGCAAGATCACAACGGCAACGGGGGGAATGAGATTGGGGTCTCCGGCTTGTGTTGCCCGATGCTTGGTTGCGGCACTGGTGCCTGCCATCGCCGTCCATTAACACGATCCCCGCCCAGTGAAGAAGGCCAGGCGGCGCTTTCCCCGCTCCGTTTTAGCGGGTCAAGCTGTTAAGCTTTCGCGGGCCAGTGGCCGGGACAGCCCCGCCATCAGCGAGGAATCGATAACAGCTTACGCTACGGGGGCAGATACCTTAGCTGTTGAGCTGTGGACTTGGCAGTGATGCCATGCGGGGCCGACTTGCGTCCCTAGGACGGGAGCCTGAACGAGGGCGGTGTCTTCGACAGGACAGCTCAATGCGACATCTTTTCGAGCGTCAACTCTTTGGCTATCCCTAAACTTCGCGACATTGCCTGTTACTCTTTCGATTTACCTTGTGACCTCTTCCTTTTGCCCTCCGAATCTTACGCGTTCGACCGACCTGAAAACAGCTCTTCACAATGGTGCGCCGCCGCTTTCCTACCTGTCGCAACATCCGATCCATCCACACCACCAGCTCCTCTCTCCAGTTTCCAAGCTGTTGAACGAAAGCGCCTCGAGATGCTTCATTACCATAGCTGATGCCGAGAATGCCAGGCCTCCGAAGCAAGACTTTACACTTTCTCCCAAGAAACCAAAGACCACCTGCGCAAGTTCCGCCTCGGGACTTCGCGCTCCAACGACCCTCAGGCCGTCATCTGTATGTATGTTCCCATTGTCCCCTTACTCCCCTGACTCTGTCTCTGGATACCGGTACAGCAAGTCAAGAACTAAACGATTTATTGCGCAAAACAGACCTGATCGATAAGACAACCAAAGAAATCAAGCAAGACGACGACAAAGTTGTATACAAGACCCTCGAGGAAATCGGCGATGACCTGCCCGATCACAGCCCGAGATTCGTACTGCTGAGCTATCCCCTAACTCTTGTAAGCCGCCCAGCTCGTCGAACATATATCCAACTGGTCTGCGCGAAGAATGATTGAGTGTATGGAACAAAAGAGAACTACGACTGACGATGGACGTGGAACAGCCCTCCGGCCGACTATCGGTGCCCTACGTTATGCTCTACTACATGCCCTCGACATGCAACAGCGCGATGCGCATGTTGTACGCGGGCGCCAAGGAGCTGATGCGCAACACGAGCGAGGTGACCAAGATTATTGATATTGAGTCGCCGGAAGAGCTGGAAGAGATTCCGGCCAAGCTTGGGGCTGCTTAGACGTGTGGTAATAAGGGCAGGCCGTGGAGAGGACAGTAGGGGGCGCCGAGCTGACAGCCTAATCGTGGATGGATGGACAGACACAAAGGTTGGTCTCCAGAGCGACCAACAGGGCCCGATGATGGTTTCACACAGAGCTGGCAACTGGGGTGAATCACAAGCAAAGGGAGGCTAATTGGATTGGGAAGACAAAGTGCAGCCAGATGCTGGATCATTCATGATCTACTCGTTATATAAACGCCGTGATATCCCAACCTTACAAAGCCAAAAAGCAGTACCTGAACTCCACCCATGCTATGGCCATTACTCCGCTCAAGCGTCATCCTCCGCCGGCATCACCACCTCCGGATCCAAGCCCATCTCCGTCGCCAGCCCCTTGACCACCCCCTTCAAGGCCCGACACGCCGGGCTATCCGGGAAGCTATCAAAGAAGCTCTCGCCATAATCGCACGCCATACCAATCCTCGGATCAAGCGGCACGCTCCCCAAAAACGCGATCCCCATCTCCTCCGCCAGCTTCCTCCCGCCACCTGTCGTTGCCTTAAAGATCTCGCTCTCGTGCGTGCACTTGGGGCACACAAACCCGCTCATATTCTCCACCAATCCCAGAACCTTGATCCCCGCCTTTCGGCAGAAATCAATCTCCTTCCTGACATCCAACAGGGACACTTCCTGTGGCGTGGTGACCATCACGGCGCCATCGATCCCGCTCTCCTTCAGGTACGTGTTCACGCTCAAATGCTCATCCGACGTGCCGGGCGGCGTATCCACCAACAAGAAATCCAAATCGCCCCATTCCACATCCTTGAGGAATTGCTTGATCAAGCCGTTCTTCTTGGGCCCGCGCCAAATAATCGCGTCGTCGCGGTTCGGCAGCATGAACTGGATGCTCATGACAGCTAGATTATCCATTGCCCATGCTGGACTCCAGCCCGTGCTGGACACATGAATTGTCTCCCCCTCCACACCCAACATCTTTGGTATCGAAGGGCCGCAAATATCGGTATCCATTACGCCCACCGTTTGTTCGGCATTAGTCGCAAAGGCGTGCGCTAGTAGACTGGTGAATGTGGACTTGCCGACGCCGCCCTTGCCGGAGAGGATCAAGATCTTGTGTTTGACGCCCGACAGACGCGCTGTGATCAAAGGGATGTCGGGGTCGGGACCCTTGGGCGCGGTGGCGCAGATGGCTTGGTTCGGACACCCGGCGCAGGAGTCGGCGGTGCCGGCTTGTTGGGATTCGGGGCCGGGACAGTGTTCGGGTTCGGGGGCGACGAGTTGGGGCTTTTGCGGGTTGGCGAGGACGGAGGCGACGGAGTCGGGCTCGGCCTCGAGGGAGGGAGCCATTTTGAAGATTTGGCTAGCGGAGCTAGGTCGGTCGCGCAGCTATTTTGGTCTTAGGTGTATGTTTGTATATTGTGAATGTGAGTTTGAGTAGGTGCCGTTGTAGTCGGCGAGCTGGTCGTTGTAGATGTATAGTTAAATATCAATAATATTGGGTTTGTCGTCGACACAGGAAGAATGATTTAACAGCTGCTTAGAAATCGGGCTTAGAAATTAGTTTAGTGTATAGAGTCAACGCCATTCGCCTCCCCTCCACTCCACTGGACTTTTGGCGGCGGGGCTTATCTTATCGTGCACGGAGGTACGGGCACCACCTCCACCTTACATGGACGTTGCTTGCCTCCGATTTTCGCGGAAAGGCGGGGCCGCTAACACGGGACACCTACCCGGAATCCTGCCTCCACCGATCGCGGAACAGGACTGCCCTTGCTCGCCTCGTTGAAGCTTCTGTTAGACCCTTCGTTCGGCATGGGGTTTTTGAGTTGGTCAAGAGAGAAGAAGACTGTGAAGGTCGTGGTACGTCTTTATTGCTTGAGCAACACAACTAGTATGGGAATCATACAATTTCGCTGTGAAGACAAGTTGAAAACACCTCCCCCTCGCTAGCACTGTACAGTAAGTAGCTCGGCCGGATGACAGGTCGCGTGCCGCTTTAGCCCCGTCCCATAATTTGCATTACATAGTGTACAAGATAGAAGGTTAGCTTTGGCCAAAACCATATCATCCATACTGTTCTATCAACAGCTTCGACAGCCATCTTTCCTCCGTGTTCTTCGCATATCAGATGATATCCATCATGCTTCCATCCCTAGTGATCCAAAGATTTTGAAATGTTTAGGGCTGAGAGCCTTGCTCCGAGACAGCCAGGACATCCCGACTTCATCAAGTGGACTTGCGGTTCGGGCCTGGAAATGACTCCGCCGGTACCTGGCCGTCGTCGGGCAAGGCTTTCGTTATCCACTGGTGAAGCGGCGTTCTTGTGTCCTGAACAGATCGAATATCAGATGCGCTCAACTTGTGATTGGATGCTATCAAAGATCTGGAGTGGTATCGAGCACCACTAGACTACACCATGATACCTTGATGATCCAACAGCCAACAGCCAACAAACTGGTGGATGGACCATTTGCTCCAGTTGGCCACAGATGATATGTGATCGTGCCGTAACCTTCGGAAGCAAATACCTACCGTAGACAGATAGACAAGTCCGGTGCCGAGGCGGCCCAGGCAGCTCCATTTGTTTCTTTTTCTTCTCTAGCGCCATTACATCACTTTTCTGCCAAGTACCACGATGAGAGATCAGAGTCAGAATAGGCCTACTACAGGGGGAAGGAGTTGACTGAATAAACCGGGACCAAGCTGCACAAGCTCAGGTTCGGGTGAGAGATGGACCCTGCAGTACGGCCGTCACCCACCTTCCAAATTCTGGTCAGACGGCGCGTGGTTGGGAAATGTCGAATCTAGCGCGCCGAGCTAGTGCTGAGTGAGGACAAATCGGGGCGGGTCACGGCCTTGAAATACACCATTCGCCAGTCCAGTATATCGGCGCCTCCGCACCGCCTCCGCTCCTGACCTCCGCGCATGGCCGCTGATGCAGGTCGCAGCACGAAAAGTCTCCATGGACGGTCGGATTGTGTGTCCACTCGCTTCCAGCCCAACCGCATCGTCGAATGAGAGGCGCGAGCCCAATGGTCTCTATGGGGCGGCCTATGGGGAGCAAATGGGGAACCATGGCCCATGGCCGGCTGCGAAAAAAGATAATAATCCCGACCGCGGCTTGATTTTCGCCTATGTGTGTGAGTGTTAGTGTGTGTGTGTGAGTGTGTGTGATTTCTCACATCTTGTTCCGTCTCTCTGCCGGAGGAGGTCTGTCTGCTCTGTTTTGCTGTTGATGCCATACTACTTATGGTGCCGCCCACGTATTGTCGAGTGTGGTAACATTGCAGCGCGATACAGCAGGTAACAACGAGTCAAGTGAACCGGCAGCAGCTCTCCTTGCGACGTTCAGGTCAGCCTTGCGAAAGCGAGGCAACCGGGGTAGAGAGAAATGATGTCGTCGTCGTCCAAACCGCTTACAAGTCGGAAATCCCTGCGGGGATTGAGCATGTTCACCAAGGACGGGAATTTCAGCGATCCAGGCACACCGACAACTCCAGGAGCACCAGGAACACCCAGGACACCAGACACACCAAACAGGCGCGGCACTCCGACTCGGACCGATCGTAACGGCCGTGACCGTACCGAGCGCAACACCGCACGAAACGGGGCAACAAGAAGACCGGGGACGCCTTCCGCTTCCATGTCGGGGTTCTTCAAGATGGAAGGCACGAGCGCCGCCGATGTGGGCCCCGCAGGACCGGTACCCGCCGCCAGAGATGCGGTCCGAACAGAAGGAACGGCCGATACGGTACGGCGCGCTTCCTCGGCAAGAACCGCACAGCGACCCAGAGAACCTTCTCAATTGGGCGCCCACATTTCACGGCCTCCCTCTCGCATGCCCTCGGTTCCAGGGCCACCTCGACAGCCCAACCAACCCGTGACGCCCTCTCTGCTCAATCCAACTGTGTACACGCCTCCCACCAGAGAGCAACGAGCTGCCGCAGCCGCGTCGCGAGGTGATCGCAACAATTCAACCTCTTCTGCTCCCGGCGGCAGTCACCAGCTTACCTCCTCCGTCAGCTTCCCTGCGCAGGGACACCCATCCCGTCCAATGCACCGAAGCAGACCCTCGGCGCCCGAAAATGGCCAACGCACGAATGCCTGGGAGGACTCAACGGTTGCGTCCATATTTGGCGACCATGAAAGCAGGGATGGAAGATCAGAAAGTGCCCACGAGCGCCAGGTAAACGGAGCTCAACACCCCCAGCTTGTGCGGGGCCGTCACTACAGCGACACTGCATTTCCTCGCTCAAACAGCCAGGCACAACATCCAGCCGTCGCCCAACAACCCAAGTCTGCACGACCCACGCTCGACCACGATGAGAACCTACCATTTGTTATCGGCGAAGGTGGTATCCTCACCGTGGTTGAGGCCCCGCGAAGCCGCAACGATCCTGATGCTGTCGCCCTAAACAAGACCATCGAAGCTATCACCAAGGAGCGGGAGCCCACCATCAAGATCGAGGATGAATATGAGGGTGATCGCGCAGCTTTCAACTCAACACCCACCAAACAACTTGGGGCCTTCCAGCGCGCACGGCTTCCCCACCGCGACCCGAGGAAAGCAGGATCAGTAAGAGGTGGCCAGGGCGGATACACATCAGACATGCAATCCCCAGGGAGGTCCTCGGATGCCGGCGGGGACCTGGAGAAGAGCCGAATCGAACAACGTCTACGCCGTGAGCGTGAACACGAGCGTCTGCGCGAACAGGAAAGGGAGAAGGAACGGATCCGCAAGGAGGCCGAGCGACGCGAACGCGAACGCCAGCGCAAGCATGAGATCCAACATCAGCGCAGCACCGTCTTTGACGACCTCACCCCCGTCGAGTCCGAAGCACCACCGCTTCCCACACCCAACTTCAATAACACACAAGCTGCTGTTGTCCCTAGCAGCAGCAGCGGCTTTGATATCGACGCCTCCTCGCCTGGCAACGTCACACCCAAAGCGTCCGGCTCGCGCCATCTTCGCCCGTCGCAGATACCGAGCCAGCAGCCACTCCCTCCCCAACTCAAAGACGCCTCGATTGCTCTGGCGCGAACCACCAGCCGCCGAGCAAAGGAGAAGGAAGTTCAAAAACCACAGCAACCACCAAAGCCCGCCGTCGCCTCTCCATTGCCCATCCTAGATCAGGCCAAAAAGCGCCGCCTTTCCACCCTGGACTATGACGATGCCCAACTCTACCAAATGCCCTATACCACCCTCCTCACTCAGTCCTTTGACGAAGACCCGCAAGAAGAGGCCCTTAAGCAACAAGCTCAAGCCACCACCAAACTCCAACAAGATGACCGTCCTCCAGCAAACGCAACCCTTGAAGACAAACTCCAACACTACAAGACCAAACCTTCGGCTCAACAAGCCGAGTTCTTTACGCACATGAAAATTGACGAGTGGGACGACGCGGGCGATTGGTTTCTGGACCAGTTTACGTCTGTGGTCAAGAGGATCAAGGACGCGAGGAGGGCGAAGAGGAAGATGGTGGAGGAGTTTGAGGTGGAGATCGCCGAGAGACAGGGATCGGTTAAGAGCAAGATTGAGAAGATTGGACGGACACTGGAGAATTTGAAAGAGGAGGGAAAGACGATGATGCAGGGGAAGGAGATGGATTTGGAGGATTAGTCGTTCCAGTTGTCGTCGATTGCTGCTGAGGAGGTGGGCTAGTTTCATTGTAGCAAGTCATTGACTTGACGAGATAGACCCTGTGGGATTAATACTTTGTAGGTTTTATTTTGGCATGGCGTTCTGGTACGGGAAAGGTGTGAGAAAGGGACGGGAAGGAACTGGAACAGGAACATAAATACCCCCTTTTTGTAGGATGTGTAATGTTCGAGGCTGGGTTGGCCGTGGATGTTTGCTTTTATCGCCGATGTGGACTCTTCTTCAAGGTAATTATTTACTCTCTGCTCAAGACACTGCGAGATTGACGTCACATAATGTTTTGAGATAAAACCAGAATTATGGCTGGCACCTTTGAATCGTCTTGAAGTGGTGATTGATATCCCGTCTTATACGATGATGTGCCCGCCACCCTATAAAAACACCCATCACTCCCGCTCCCAGCAAGCCACGAACCTCCAATCCGGGTATCAATCAAACCAGTACCATAAACCAGTAAACCACCAACCAGTTTTCCATCGATCCCTCCCATCCCTCAAATAACCATATGCTCCACCACCCCTCTATCCCTCCCCACCACCATCCTCAACTGCCGTCCCCTCTTCTCTTCATCCCCCTTAAAAACCCCCTGCCTAACCCCTTCCTCATACAGCTCATAAGCAGGAAAATACCCATCCACAAACTTGCGCACCATGTCAGCACTCATCCCCGTCCCCTTTTCGCGGCGCAA